TCAAACTATATCGTGTTTGGTATCATTTTAATCAGAAAAATTTCACCAATGCGCTAGTAAAAGTTTCAGTAAAAAAAAGTCAAAAATAAAAAAGTTTTATAACTGAATTAGTATTAGTCACACCGATACGTTTTGGCTCTTTCCTTTGATCATTAGACCTCTTTCTCTCTCCTCCACTGTCTGTCCCTTTCTACGTTCATGCTTGGCTGGTCGTCGCATCTAATTCGAGATTCGATATCTCGGCTGGATGTATGCAACGTCTGGTTCCGAAACTCTGTTGCAGCTTTTACTGTATATGTAGACGCGAGGTCCCTCCATTTATTAGTTCTAATAGTACCATAGTACTTTTTTATGCAGAATGTTTCAAGGAGTTGACTCAAGTAAAAAAAAAAATGCAAATCCATTTAAATAAAAAGTGGATTTGCATTTTTTGAGTGCATCGTTGCATTCACGGAGAAAATGAAATCACAGAAAAATAGACATTATCATACTGTTGAACTTTTACATAAACAGCTTTTTCCTATCTCTTACCAAATTCAAGATATAACTCGTCAGAAATTGCATGACGTATTCTGTATATTTTTATTAATTAAAAAACATTTATTTAAAGAAGTTAATAACTTTTTCTAGAAAATTTCTCAGATTGCACGTTCCTTCGGTTCTTTAGAGTAGGTATATATTTTTCAGCAGCGAGGGGTGCTACGGTGCGCTATATAAAATCCACGCGTTCAGTCAGTCAAAATTTATCGGAGCGGGACAATTCTATCATTTAGGTTGAAAGAAGGATAGCATGATCACCCTACATCTCACTCTAACCACGCGTCAATGTTTCGCTTTCGTTCTTCAGGCGGATCGTCGCGATGCCTCTTGCGAGATGAGCGTTTGAATGTGTTTGTAAAAATACTTGAGGCGCTGTTGCATTCCTAGATCGTGTTGCGCGCACGCTAGCTGAGAATTAAACCTTTCAAGTTCGTAACAGACCACGCAAGTGGCTCCACCAGGCCCAATGAAAAAACTGCTGTAATACCGACGTCCCGAATCGGAGAGGTCACGTGCCGTGTCTACCCCCTTAAGCGTTAAATAAGAACTGTGCTTAATAAAACAATGTTTCTTGTAACAAGTATTGTTATATATAGTTACAGGCTATCACATGAATGCCGGATATACCCGGCGCAGGTACACACAGGTCATCAAATGAATGCCGGATATATCCGGCACTCGTACCGAAAGGGTTAAAAAAAAATTCTCGAAAAAGCCTTAAATTTTGAAGCGGTCAAAGTGGTGTTACCTCTTCAAGTTGAAAACATCGCAGGAAAAATGGCTTGTAGCAGACAAAAAAGAACCTTAAAATATCGACAATAAGTTGGTCACAATTAATGCTTCAAGTTATGACATTGTTTACAAATGCGAGGAAAACTGTTCACCCGACTCCCTTTCCCGTTCAGGGGCACACGCGGTTGACGAAACTTCGTAGTCAATTTACCTGAGAGTGCAGTCAAGAATGGGGGATTGTTATTCCACACTTCTCACTCACTTCTGCACGAAAATTCGTCTCCGTCCTGCTCGTATCGTGTTTTTCATGACATTTTACATAAATACATTGCATTCATCACACACACTGTATACATTACAAAATTCTGTATACATTGCATTCATCACACACACTGTATACATTACAAAATTCTGTATACATTGCACTCATTACACACACTGTATACATTACATACATTCCATACATTGCATACATTACTTACTTCCTACTTACATGAAGAGCTCGTGTTATAAGTGGATCCGAAGACGCAGGCTCCTCGGATCCATTTATAACACGATTTACTCTTCCTATATAATTCTTGACAACATATATGATACATTGATGTATCACATATGTTGTCAAAGAATTGCCATGTTCGGAGCATGTCAATTTAAAATTTACATGCTCCGAAATGCATAATTTTAGAGTCGCAATAAGGTTCGGAGTGTGCGCTATCTGTGGCATATTAGCGAGGCAAATAGACACTACCTGCGTTATTAATGATCTGCACGCAACATGCATCGATGAACCTTCAGAAACATTGATTTCAAAAACTAATGCCAAACAAAATTTGCAGGTGGTGTTCTTCTTCAGAACACGCCGTGAAACATACTGAACCACTGTTAATACAGTGGATTCAGCAGCTGCCGAAACGTTGTAATTTAGAAAAATAGAATTGTCGATCATCGATGCAGCTGGAGCAGGTGACAAATATTTTTTGAGACTAATTAAAAAGTTTGCGGATTCTTCAGATTCGCAGTTAGTATCCGCACTTACCAACTGCGAATAGGAATTTAAGAGCAATGTCCTATAATACCCGTGAAAGGCAGTACACGATGGATTAGTATTTCGCGCACCATGCTGTCTAATCTGTCCGAAAAAATTTTCTACGGCATCTTGGTTAAAATTCCGACCAATAAAGTGGGAAAATCCAAGATTGCCTAGAAGTGTTGTTAAAAATTTAAAATTTTGTAGCGTTCTAATCCAATTGTGTACTACCAGTGGACGCTCTTTATCCGCAAACTTTCTTTTGATAAATGTCATGCTTCGAAATACATTAATTCCTACATCCCAGATATTGGATCTTTCCCAGTTGATATCTACTACCGAAAGAGGACGACTACTGTTGACACTGTCGAAAATATCATTCATAAAATGAATGAATCGAGCAGTGTCAACACCTTCTAAAGGCATTTCACGCGTACCGCACACACTCTTAACTTTATTGCGACTCATGAGTGTCATGACGGACCCAACCGATTGACTAAAAACCTGCGCGCAATACTTAACCTTCATTTTCCTAATTTTATCAACTACTACATGCTTTGCAGTAAGCTTCTTCAGAACTCGGTCCTGAGAAGAAGCATTACTGCTATCAATAAAATATAAATCTTCCACGTGTGGCTAAATGGTCACACGTGGAACATTATCCGCTAAATGGAATTGCAAATCTTTAGTCTAAAGATTGTTCCGCATGCACTTCAATAGGTGCGGAGGATCGAAGAGCGGCACGATTTCATTTTTATCAATAACAATTATATCATGCCGTAATGGATTCGACTTCTGAAAGGCATTTCTTTTCGAATAATCTATTAGGCATTGTATTGCCTTACAATTCGTGCTGCCTTGGTCATAAACTGAGGCTACAACTACAATGCCGGCCTGACATGCACGGCGAACTAATTCTTTAAACATTTTAACGATGCTCTCCGCGGAAGAAGTACCCCTACAAAAAGTATATGCCACAGGTTGCTTCCAAGGTCGCACACCGTCTATGCCTTTCAACATCCACACCATGGCATGATCCGCGATATCTAAAGAACGCGAAAAACCGGAGTCTACAAATCCTTCAACTATGTCCATTGTAGACCAGTGACGGCGATAATTTAATTTCGTCGAAAAGCAGAATGGCGTATCTGCTTTTCTCGTCTGGAAAGGACTCGGACCGCTCTTCGAGTTCATGGAATACGTTGTCGCAAATTCCAGCTCTTAGTGGAATGTGCGACAATAATTTCCGAAGCGTTTCGATACTTGGCAAATGAAATAATTTTGACAAATATCGAAACGCTTTTGGACGTTGCTTATAAATACTTAGAACTAGTACCTTTTCCTCTTCCGTGAAGCGTCGTCCGTAGATGGGTTTTCCCTCGTTGCGCATCTGGGCGGAAATCATCGCGTGCAGGGGTGTAGACAAGTTTTCCAAAACTTGGCATACACCTACCTGCACGAGACGCTCTATCTTCTTGATGCGGTCCTTCGTTGCCATCTGCCGCCGCTTGCATTGCCGCGCTGCCTTCAGTATCGCTGCCACGGCGCTGTAGACTCGTTGCTGCAGGGGCTTCTCCACGATGTTGTCCCTGAGCATCTTCAGTATATTACCTGCAGAAGGAAACATACAATATAATTACTCTGTAAAGGATGTATAAAGTCATATAAAGTAGTATATAGTTTACATGTCTATTACTGCCATGTATACCGTATACACAGTGTAATTTACACATGCAAACGCATAATATCGACTGAAGGTATGTGCAAATTGGTGGCGCACTGAGCTCGACCTGAAATGGAGGATGTATAACTCTGAGAGTACCTCCAGTTACGAGGAAGTGTATCCGATTTGGAATACATCAATCTAGCGTATATTATTTCCTTGTACTTGCAAGGAAAAAATACGTTAAATAATGTAGATAAGAAATACATAAAGTAAAAATTTCAGTTGTATATGTTAGCACCATTGTATGAAAATCAAGCATTGTATAGTGTGCCTGGCGTTTTTGAGCAAAGTATAAAATATCCCAATTATTGTAATATTATATCAACTTTGGATTGATATTGCCTAGGCATTCTGTACAGTATTTGCTTTTTATGCATGGCCAGTAACATGTACAAATGATAAAAAAGAAATGAGTAGAATGTCAACAATTTCCTTTCAGTAAGAAAAAAAATTGTATACATTTCTCTCATTTTATGATATGGATTCGACAAGGAATGTTTAACGGAATTAATTGAATTGCACCGGTTTTAATTAATAACCAACTTTTTTTTTATTTATTCAATATTCTTTGCAATGTTATCCTGCACTTATCATTACTTAACCTAATATATTAATACTTATTTCGTACCTTTCTGTCCTTTCTGGACTTGTGATCGCTGATGCTCTCTTCCAGGGACAGCATAATCTGTAATTGTAAAGACTTAATAGAAGTTCCCTTTCAATGACTCATGCATATTTCATACTAATATCCAGTAATGTATAAACTCATACCTGCATTATGCAATGGCTTGTCTTCTTCTATATTTAGTCTGTGCAAGTCGTTCCATGCCATCTCTACAAACAACCAAACAATATTTGTTAAACATACCAGTCTATAACTAAGAAAGATAGTAAAATCAAAAGTAATATTTTTTTATGGTAACAGACTAACCTCCGGATGGTCCATGAAGTGCTGTGAAGTCCTCGTGTCCCACGATGCCACTCTTACTGTCTATTCCCCAGTGCAGTCAGGTTTGCCTGCAAGAACAAAATTAAATAACATTATAGATACATTTCATGCTAGAAGTATTATTATGTATTTTCAGTATACAGGTATAACAGAAAACTTACATTCTTCTTCTTCTTCTGGTATTTCCATCCGGGTGTCTTGCTGCTCTATTTTAATAGAGGCAGCCTCTGACACTGTGTAATAAATATTTTCATTACCAATTATCTGCAAACGCAACACAAATTATGTAAGAGTATTACCTGGTAAGTTCAGTGTTGGAACTGCTGACGTTGTCAGCTTCTTCATCATGATATATTTTTGTTCGAAGTGGCTGCTGCAGAGGGAAAGTTGAATGTCTTCAGAACTTCACTTCTGCATCCTCGGACACTGCATTTTTTCTTCTTCCTTCTTTAAAGATACATTTTAATAATTACAATCTTATCTTAGAAACTGCTTAAATTAAAGCAAACAATCCATTATTATAACACCAAAGTTATTGTTTTCAATAACAATTAAAAAAAATTTTGTACTTACTTAATTTCGATCTTCTTGTGCTGTTGCTGCATCTCATTATCAGCAAAAATATTGAAAAAATCTGAAATAAACTAGAAGAAACCTGAAAAAATACCTCTAAATCTCTTCTCAATTAGTAATAATAGTAATAATAATAACAATAATAATAACAATGAAAGTAACAATAATAATAACAATAATAATAGTATCAATAACAGTAATAAATTGTATTAGTATCTCTTTGTATTGCTCAGTATCACTTTCCACGCTGTCGCTTTAGTGACCGTTATCGTGGTTAATTGGCGCCATATTTTTTAAGTCTCCTTAAATTTTGAAACAATTGAAAAGCGCGGCGTTAAATTTCGCGGGAACATGACGTCACGATATCTTTAGTTGTGTATGTTAAAATCAGTGATACAAGGTATGCATGTAGAGAAGCGACATCAGCGCTGCCTGGATTTTCTGCGCCGAGTTATAATTTGCATCAACTTCACAAGAGTGGAGCTTGGAGGGCCTGCAGGTTGCTCCCTTTCTGGGGAGGGGTGGTGGTGCTGTCGCCGGCCTCGAAGCTCCTTGGGCTGCCTGCTGGGGTCCTCTCCGTCGCCTCCATCGGCCCGTTACTGGCGGGTGGGAAAAGGGGTTAGGTAAGGGAAGGGATATGGGTCATGACGATTTTGGGAACGGGAGGTAAAAGACGCGCAGCGATTGTAACGGGGTGACACGCGTGATACCACGTTACAGTATACATAAAAATAATCTTGGAGCACTACTGGTTCTCTGGATATGTGTAGTTCTAATTACGTATAGCTTCCAATAGTTGAAAAGTCACGTGATATCGACTTATAATAGATATGGAAAGTGATATATATTTTACCTTAATTGAATATAATTTTGGATGTGATGATGCGTTATGACTTCCTGAATCCATTGTTTGGTTTTCTCTTTTTTGCATGAATGTATCCTGTTAGATATATAATGATATAAGTCTTTTTGCTCATATGATGTGCTTTATTTTTAGATGATTTATCACCATATCTGTTTGATGTGACTTATAGTTTTAGTCTTCGTCATTGTCTTTATTAATAGTAGGTACCATTTCGTCTTGCCGGAATATGGCACTTAAATGTTCGGCAGGTCTAACAATTTCCGACAGATACCGTGCGTGCGACAGGTAATAAATAATTGATGCTACGTGTGAGCAGCACCCGACGCGCGACGGTACGATTGCCATTCGCACATTCGCAGCAATAGCGTTTAATTCCCGAAATGCCGATTGAATCTGGGGTATAATCTAAATAGCAGCGATAAGTTTTACTGTTTATATGACGCGATTGTACTTGGAATTTGACGATATGATTTTTTTCTTTTAAACAAAGTATATTAATTCTATCGTTCGCGTCTATGACTTCAGCTAAATATGAGATTGCCTGAGATAATTGATATGACCCGGTAAATAAGATTTTTAGCTCGTTTTCTGTCAGTTGCGGAAAATCTAACAATTCAGTTGCTGACACCTGCTTGAATGGAACTTTTCGTCTATTCCAATGATGTTTCTCAACTTCTATAGCTAATGAATTTTCATCCGGTTGATTATGCATTCTTTGTATTATTTCTTGTGAAAGTCCTATGTCAGAATTTAAGCGTTTACCAAATCTATTATTTAACAAACAAGCGATTTTACAGAATAATTGAACCTGAGGTAATAATTTGTTATCCATTCGATGGTGCAGAAGTTTATATTTTTGAGCTATGATGCCGTAAATTGCTTCAACGACCCAACGAATTTTTGTGACATGTCTAGAGGCATTTGATTCTATTGTTGTAAGCTGACTACGTTTTCCTTTCAAAGCAGGCATCAGTACTTGAAAACCGAATTTTTTCAAATATACTTGGACATCACGAAATCCCCTATCAATTATGCAGATGTCTCCGCGTTTCATAATACTTATTAGGCCATTTGGATCTTGCAAAACAATTTTCATGATCTGAGCGTCATTTTGATTCGCATAAAAAGGTCCAAGCATATCAACGACGTATCCATTTGTTGTGCAGACAGTAAACGGTTTACACAGCAGAACTTTTTTCTCTCCAGAATATGATTTCCGCTGATACTCGTTATTAGTACTTTTTTGATGCCTGATATATGTACTATCGAAAACCAGTGCTAATTGACTGGAAATATTATACAGCTATTTAGCAATATCGGAGGTTTCATTATCTATTAAATATTCGCGAGAAAAAGAAACTAACTCGAAGTGAGTAGGTAAAATATCTTTCTGAAATACTTGTTGTTCATGCTCTAAACCAAGAATTGCTGCTATCAGACTATTTGAGTTACCAGTACTTAATTTAAATAAAAAAACAATGGCCTGTGTAACATTGCGAGTTTCTGAATTCCGCATTGAAGTGTTACGTTGCGCGTTGCGTGAACGCGCAACGTAAAAGAAATTAAAAATATTAAAAAAATATATATATATATTATCTTATTTTTGGGCGATGAGAAAGGTATCGCTGCCACCAGTTCTGACCGCGTATGACGCGGTAACGTCCTCTACGGTCAGAACAAAAATTAAAAGACGGAAAATTTAGATAGTGATAATTTCCGTTGGGTTCGTCAGTGCTCTGGGTCCCATACGGGTCCCTCCTTGAAACCTTGTGTTGGTATGCGTGGATTTAAAATGTAAAATGATAAAGGAAATGATACAGATGGAATTTGAAAGAAATGTTAATGCAATTTAGCGTGCAAAAAGAAAAGTAATTTTAATTCAAAGTGACTATTGGATAGTGAAGCTAACAGAAACTGAATTTGAAATGACTATTGAATGAATACTGATAGATTCTATTAAATACTGATAATTACCGTTAAATGAATTCAAATTAGAACAATACTGGTTAACAAGGGTAAAGATGCTTAACCTATTTTATAAACGTGATTTGATCAGAAAGGCGCTTTTCCTTTGATTCGTAATGTGACTTTCCAATATAATTTTAAACGGTTTGTAGTTGAAATTTTAATGTTAGATGACTGACTCGACTAAATAGAAAAATGAAAAGTTGGCGGTATCTATCCGCAAGGAAACGACCTGAATGAAGGGACTCTTACAACCCCCGAAAGGGCTTTACGGGCCGTCCCTGATAAAGTTTTGAAATCGAAGCAATCGTCTCACAAAAGTTGCGATAGTTGAAAATGCAAATATATCGAAAATGTATATTATATGATTCGGTACCTGAACGTGAAAACAAGACGATCTAAAATGAAGAGACTATCATAACCCGTAGGCTTAATAGATCGCCCGTTTTGCCTTGTTGAAAATCAATTATAATGCCGTGCTCGACAAAGGGTATAGCAGGATAAGATGGTCAAAAGTGCCCTTGAGCCGAATTTGCTTCGCAATGCACCATTCGATAGCATATCCCAAAAAACCATGGTACACCAAGTTTCAACCCTGTACCTCAACCGGGAGGGTAGTTACAGGGTAAGAAAGAAAAAGTAGTTTTTGCCATATTTTCCCTATTTAATGGCATTCAAAAAATCTGAAAAAATTCTAGAATATTCTAGCCATGTTTCTTTATGATTGTGAATTTTCTCAGATTTTTCGGTTGCAAATCCTAGGCGTGAAAAATCAAAAACGCAAAAAAAAGTCGAAAAATAGAGATTTCGGGTAGAAGCTTTCGAGACACTAGATTTTTACTTTTACAGTAGTTAGATATTAGCATGACTGGTGTCCTCAATTTTTTTCAGATTTTTCATTCTGGTGCGTCAAACCGAAAAAAATCAAAAACCGATATTTTCGACATATTTCGTGCGATAACATGAGAAATACTTTCAATTTTTACATTTCCTTTACACACTTAGTGCATTATGTGATTTCGAACATTTTTGCACTGGATGCAGTAAAATCTGAATGGAGAGAGTGAAGTTATTATAAATAATTGAAAATTACGCACCTTATCCTCTAAAATATTAGAAATTTTTTCAACGTCGCCGATGGATAAGTCGGTAAGGTGTCCGACTATGGAACCGCTGAAAACTTTTTTGTCACGAGTTCGCGCCCCATGAATGTACAATTCTATTTTTTGTCATAAAACAATTTTTTTTTAAATTATTAATCACATAAGAATACACAATAATCATTTAATAACGTATGAAAATAATTTTGAAATATTTTATTATTAAGTATACATAAAAATCAGTGGTACACAACCGACTCTTTGGCTATATGTACAATTAAGGTAAAATATACATATCTGTATTGCTTTCAATATCCATCATAAACCAACAACCACACAACTTTTCAATTAACAAACAGTACGAAATCAGAAAATCGGTAGTGCACCACTTATTTTTATGTATACTTAATAATAAAATATTTCAAAATTATTTTCATACGTTATTAAATGATTATTGTGTATTCTTATGTGATTAATAATTTAAAAAAAAATTGTTTTATGACAAAAAATAGAATTGTACATTCATGGGGCGCGAACTCGTGACAAAAAAGTTTCCAGCGGTTCCATAGTCGGACACCTTACCGACTTATCCATCGGCGACGTTGAAAAAATTTCTAATATTTTAGAGGATAAGGTGCGTAATTTTCAATTATTTATAATAACTTCACTCTCTCCATTCAGATTTTACTGCATCCAGTGCAAAAATGTTCGAAATCACATAATGCACTAAGTGTGTAAAGGAAATGTAAAAATTGAAAGTATTTCTCATGTTATCGCACGAAATATGTCGAAAATATCGGTTTTTGATTTTTTTCGGTTTGACGCACCAGAATGAAAAATCTGAAAAAAATTGAGGACACCAGTCATGCTA